AAGAAGAAATTCACTTTTTTCAAAAATATTTCCTTCAATTCCTTTGAGACATATAAGGATAACAAAGGAAGGAAAAAAAGTTGTAAGCCTTATACTAAAATCTGTTCTCTCCGATTTGGAGAGAAAGTTGCAAAAAGAGAGTGAAAAATCAAAATCATTATACTTATGTTATATAAATAAAATTATTATTTTATTAGTGTCAATTATGTATTTAAAAAATATATTTGTGTCATATATAAATAAAAATCATAATTTTTTTTACTTCTTATTTTCCTTAAACCAAACAAGATATTAGCTAGGCAATTTTGTGATAGATGCTTTAGTTAATTTCACCTGATTTTGTTTGGATTCTTTGTTTTCTTAGGGATGCTGCTAATTAGTGTTTATGTTAGCTAGTTTAGGTTGTGTCATTAGGCCTTTTCATAAAAGAAAAAAGAATGGTTTAATAAGGACATCTTCAATGGAAGAAGCAACTCATTTGAGTTACTTCATGCATTGAAAAATAAAAAAAGTGATTCATGCCAATATTAAGCAACTTAAACACAAATTTATTATAATAATAAAAAAATTTAAGAAATTTAATTTTTAAATTTTTTTTTCTAATTATTTATGAATCAAATTTTTCTTTCCCCACAAAATCTGGTAAAGAACAGTTACTTAAAGAAATAACTCTCTCTCTTTTTAAATAACTCATGTTGTCACATCATAATTCTTCACTGACAAAAAACTGAGACTTGAATTATTTCATGGAACAAACAATTCCCGTTAGAATTACACTAATATCTTAATCTAATATTGCATTCACATCCAAGTCCAACTATGAAACTCTGATTATTTGTGGACCTTGGAAAATGCAGATAAAGGAAATTTTGGAGCCAAAGCATTGAGCAATCCCAAGAAGATGCCTTTTTTAATTAAAAAATATAGGTTTTAATTGGATGTCATTATCGAAAAAAGCAAAGTGGCCTTGGACCTCCTCTAGCCACCATCCCCTAAGAATGCAAAGAATATGTTCCAAAGAATGGAAGAGAGCCCTAAATGAATGGATATTAGTTGACTAAGGGATATGCGAAGATTCGTAAGGAAAGCAAGTTTCACGCCTTGTTTCTCACTTCCAAGTTCCAAGTTCCAACCAAGACTCTATTTTTATTTCATTTAGTTAGACGCTACCAAACCATAACATGTCTAGCCGTGAGGCTCATCTTCCATATTCACTTTTTTTTTATTCTTATATGTTGTAATTATTCACACTGATTAAAAAAAAAAAAAAAAACACGCTACCTAAGCCAAAAGGATAAGGCCAAAAATAAAATAAAATATATAAAATTTCTTGGAATTTATCATAATCCTATCCGTGCGGTGTGGGAACAATTTGTATTCGCATGCTGTGGTCCATTCAAATGGGAGAATTTAGAAAAGAGTAAGACTTTGAACATGGACCTTTTACTTTATGTTACGTTGTGTTGGGATACAAACAAGTTTTACATCAATAAAATTTAAGAAACCTTTTGGATAATGACTAAAAATAAAACTGTGAGGGCTAAGGTTCAAAGCGGACAATATCTTATCATTATGGAGTATGTTTGTTTAATAACCTTATAAAAATAACTTTTATAAAATATCCTCTCACACAAATACCATGAAATAATTCCATCACATTGCAACCTCTCCTTTCTTGCTGCACTCTTTCGCATAACTTATTTCAACAAATAAAAAAAGCTTAAACCTTAAATGTAATTTCTTAAGTATAATTTGTTAAATATGAATAAAATCTCAAGAGAAATAAAAAAATTATAAAATATGCATTATAAAGTTTTTGAAAAATAATTAAAAAAATATAAATTAGATTCAAAATGAATAATATTGTATCAATATAAAAATATAAATGTGTAATCTTGATATTCAATAATATTAACATTGTTCTTCGATTAGAATTGAAATTTTTGTAGTTATTAATCTTAAAAAAAATTGCCAAGAAAGTTGAATCACAATGTAAGTTGATAAAAATACCTTGTGACTTGCAAAGGATGTTTCATGTTAAATTATTAGAGTATTTTTTTAATCAATTGTAATGTTTTTTTAAATATACTGTGATAACGTGATTATCTCTAATTGATCGATTGAACCCTTATTTTAATCGATTAGAATAATTATATTTTAATTCGATTACAGTTTCATTTTAATTGATTCAAATTTTTAACTTCTGTTATGATTGACTGTGGATGTATTTTAATTGATTAAACTTGCAAACACGTCATTCCCGTGAGATATATTTTTTAAAATATAATCGAATATATGTATTTTTATAATTTATTTTTTCTTTTTTATATTAATCAAACAACTTCATAACATTATTTTTCTTCTCTTTCATTTATATTTCTTTTTAAACCTAACAAACTAAAATTTCATCATCTTTTCACTTATTTATTTTTTATTCTCACTTTTATTTTTTGTTATATTTCTTTTCTCCGGAGTCCGTACCAAATGAGCATTATTAAAGGATTGATGATAAATTTTTTAAAATATTTATTAAGCAAGCATCGGAGCCATTCATCCTTAAGGATGCTGTGTGAATCCAATGGATGTTATTGAATGGAGCACCGGTGTTCCAACTAACGAGTTCATGGTTAATTTTATTTTATTTTATATATATATAGGTCCACGTTAAAATCGTTCCAATATATCAATAATATTTTGATTTTAATAAATATATAAATAATCAACGGGTAGCATATTGTAAAGAGAACCGAATTACGCGGAAAAATTGATAAATAGGATGACAGCTTTACGATAATTTATTTATTTTTAACCATGTTATTACTACGTGATTTTGTTATATTAAATATATTTAATTTAATTCAATATTGTTGTGCAAAATAATGAAGAATAAATAAAAACATATATAAAAATATAATATTACTCCTTTAAAACATAATAGTAAGCATCATAATAGTATTAATGAGGTAGACAAAGTTGAAAACAATTAGACATTAGACATATAATACTAAACTATATTTTGCATCTGCCTTTATTATAACGGGTGATTTAAATTTCTAATAATTTAATTATATGATTTATAAATTATTGTGTTGTTATGAAAATTATTTAAAAATTACGAAGGTTTAAGAATCTTGAGAGTTATATTGTTTTATAGATGATTTCAAATTTAGTTAAGTCAATTAACTTAAGAAAGGATATATATTTTTTTCTTAGAATGTGAATCTTATTAGCTCATGTTTTAATAAATTCTAAAGATAAGCTAGTTGTAAGTTGATGGGTGATTAAGTTATGAAGTTCTATGATGTTATAGTCGATTAAGTTTTATTATTATGAATTTCAACAAGGAAATTCTCACGGGGAAACTCGCACTAGAAGGAGGAGCTCAAAGTGTGAAGTGTTATAGATGTGGAGGCTATCACATAATCAAAGATTGCATAGCTACTACTTCTATGTGCTTATGATGTAGCAAGTTTGAGCACATAGCCAAGGATTACCCGAAAAAGGGCTTCTCCAACTAAAAGTGCATCAAGGGTGAAGCTACCTACAATTGTGAGTCGAGAGTCGAGTACTTGCATTAACGAATTTTGAAGCTTGTACTTCATTACATTAAGTGAAAGGGAAAGGCAAGGTGGAGGATAAGGATATTTCTATCCTATTTGACATGGGTTACGCACTCCTTTATATCTATTGACTGTGTATAAAAGTTGAAGCTCGTTGTAGATTTTTTGAATGTGAATTTGATAATGTCTACACATACTTCTACTTTAGTTATTATGTTTGTGTGTTGTTTGGGTTGTTTGATTGAGGTATTTAGGCGATGGTGTAAGGTGAACCTTATTTATTTGTCTTTTGTGGGGCTAGATATAATTTTGAAGATAAGTTGGTTGTCTGCTAACCATGTCCTAATTGATTATGCCAAGGAGTTGATCTTCTCAAATGTTGATGAGAGAAGGAATGATTTATGCTAAACAAGTTGAGGGGTTAAAGAAGGGGGAAGTTGACATTTTTTTGATCATGTCCTTTTTTCATGTAGAGAGTGAATAACATTTTTTTAATAGCAAATATACTTTATTTGTCTCGAGATAAGTATCATGATAAAAAAATAAAAGTCTTAAAATACGTGTAACTTTAATTTTTTAATATAATATTAATTATCACTTTTAAGTATATAGTTTATCATCGTTAAAAAAAACTTAAAATATACTATCATTTAAAGACAGTTGTTCATATTTAATATACACAAATGAATTTATATTAAATTTATAATATTTTTTAAATACAACTTATTATATTTTGAATGAGAGTGCTTTAAGAACTATTCAATGATAACAATTTAAATTAATTTTATTTAGCAGAGTATGCCTTTAGATTTTTTTTCAACATTCTATCTTTTTCAAATTTGTTTTCTTTTAATTTTATATTGAATATTATTTTTAAAATATCAATAATTAAAATTACCTTATATCATAACACAATTTATTTGCTATAATTTCAAAATATAAGTTGTATGTTAAAAAATATTTATTATAATTTAACATTTTAACTTGTAGAATGAATAAGATAATTATTAACTTTTATTACAATTAAAACTTTATAGTAATAGTTGTTTTAGATTTTACAGGATTGAAAATCAAAGACAAATAATAATTGTAATACCAGTTGTAAAATTTATTCATTTTACGTGAATTAAAAATAATATTTATAAAACTTAAAAGGTGAAAAACCAAAAAATGGTTTTACAAAAGTCACCTAGTTTATAAAATAAAAAACATTTAAAATTAACATTGTTTACCTTATGTATGTCGCACACTAAACCAGTAGTGTTTTTGATAAAAATAAAAATAAAAATACTAGCATTTGATATTATAAAAGGAAAAAGATTATTATATATGAATAATATAAAATTGAATTATGTGGATGATTCCCTTTAGGGAAGATATCGAATGAGAATGAGTATGGTTAAAATAAAAATATTGGATTTTAGGTATTGGAAGAAAAAAAGTGGAAGGCTCCATGTCTGCGTTCCTCGCTAGAATCTCATTCTCAGCGTCTCTTTCTTTCCCTGGACCGCGCGAAACACGTCAATCTCATTTCCCTTCAAAACAAAAACGCAGTGTTTGAATCAAACTGGTTTTCCTCCACCACCCTTCTCTATATATACCCCTAAACGCAACGCAACCAAACAATCCCCTCCACCACCACGCTAACCCTATCTAGTATCTATCACCATTCATCCCTCGCCACACGCCTCATAAAGTCTTGTCCTTTCCCCCCTTTTCCGCCACCCATCATGGCCATTCCCTACCCCCATTTCATCGCCACCGCCAAAGCCGCCCTGGACGCCGGCCTCCACGCGCCCTCCTCCTCCGCCATGCTCTCCCAGGACGACCTCAAGAAAATCGCCGCCTACAAGGCCGTCGAGTACGTGGAGTCCGGCATGGTCCTCGGCCTCGGCACCGGCTCCACCGCCCGCCATGCCGTCGACCGCATCGGCGAGCTCCTCCGCCAGGGCAAGCTCAAGGACATCATCGGCATCCCCACCTCCAAGAAGACCCACGAGCAGGCCCTCTCCCTCGGCATCCCCCTCTCCGATCTCGACGCCCACCCCGTCGTCGATCTCGCCATTGACGGCGCCGACGAGGTCGACCCCTTCCTCAACCTCGTCAAGGGTCGCGGTGGCTCCCTCCTTCGGGAAAAGATGGTGGAGGGTGCGTGCAAGAAGTTTGTGGTTATCGTTGATGAGTCCAAGCTCGTTAACTTTTTGGGGGGTAGTGGGTTGGCCATGCCGGTTGAGGTTATTCAGTTTTGTTGGAGTTTCACTGCCGCGAGGCTGCAGAAGCTCTTTCAGGATGCTGGCTGTGTTGCTAAGCTCAGGGTTGGGGAAAAGGATGAACCTTTTGTTACTGACAATGGGAACTATATTGTGGATTTGTATTTCGAGAGGAGTATTGGGGATTTGAAGGCTGCCAGTGATGCCATTTTGCAGCTTGCGGGGGTTGTGGAGCATGGCATGTTTCTCGATATGGCTACTACTGTGATTGTTGCAGGGGAGCTTGGCTTGACGGTGAAGAATAAGTAGGGGTTTTTGGAGAATAATGTAGGGTAAGGGAAGGTGGAGGCTTGACTTGCGGTTCTAACACTTTGTGTGGTATGGTGTATTAGTAGAGGTGGGGAGGGGGGATTTTTAATGAAATCCTTTTGTTACTGAATACAATTGTTGGAGAAAGTTTCTTATTTCTCCGGTAGTTTTGTTTTTCCTTTTAGTTTGAGCAAGCAGAAAAAAATGGAAACTTGTTGGGGAGATGAATATTAGAATATTCATCTCATGCAATGACTGTTGTGTGGTGCTGAATCAATTGTCTGCACAATTTGTTGTTGAATTGACAGTGTTTAACATATTGAATCTATCTAATTCCAATTCATTTTCGCTTTTCCCTTTGATTTGCTATTATTGAATTATATGGATGGTATTTATTGTTTGTTTCTTTTATAGCATGTTTGGATTGGTGCCATGTAGCTTTGTACATGTGGCAGCCTGAAACAAATATTAGTTGCTTCTGCGTCAATCTATTACATTTGCATGTGAATTTTGGCTAAACGTGCTCTTGTAGGTCGTGGACTTAGTTTGAGCAAGCAGAGAAGAATGGAGACTTTTTGGAGGGCTGAATATTAGTATTTTAATTGCATGCAATGGCTGTTGTGTGGTGCTGGATCAGTTGGCTGCACAATTTTCGGTTGGGTTGACAGTGTTTAACATGTCGAATGTAGCTAATTCAAAATTTTCATTGTTTTCCCCTTTGATTTGCTATTATTGAATTGTATGGTTGTTATTTATTGCTTATTTGTTTTATAGCATGTTTGGATTGTTGCCTTGTAGCTTTTTTCACGGGGCAGCCTGAAGCAAACATTAGTTGCTTCCGTGTCAATCTTATACATTTGACTGTAAATTTTGGCTAAACATGCACTTGTAGACCCTGCACCAAACACAGGGTTATGTTAGGTAGAATTGATTTTGAACAACTAAATGTAATTGGGATGTGTGCACGATTTAATTAACTGCAGATTTTATATTGGAACTTGTCACTGTCTGAGGAATTGGTTATCGGTGATAGCCAAGCTATTTTCTCTTTTGATGTTAATGTGTTTCTCAAATTCTCAATTTAGAAATCGTTGTTAGTCTTTTGTATCCATTTAATTGCTTTTTAGACTTGAATAACCTTATTCTGTATTTGAAACCTGACTAGAGGTACTCTTGTTAACAAAAATTCATGTTTTATTTGTCCTTTTTTTTTTCTTCCTTCTAATTTTGCTACTTGCGTAACGGTAACGGTCAATTGTATGGGTTAATGTGTTGAAGAAACCGCTGTTATTCAGTCATTGACTTTCAAAAGGATTGGTTTATGTGTAATGTTATCTACTTATGGCTTTGATATCACATTTGTGACCAGAGTACGTGTGTTAAATAACTAGCAATACTTAAATTTACTGGATGTAATTCTCCAACGAAGGATTTACTTGTTCCTTTACGAGAGAAGCATCGATAGAATGGAAGCTTTTAGTTGGTTTTTGCATACAATAACACTTTCATTATTAGAAACAATAGCACATTGCTTCAATTGCCATGGGTAGCTGAAGTTGAACAATTTTCAACTGCAATGTTGTTGTTTTACCTATGCTACTGTTGTTGATTATGGGTCAGGTGGCTGGGATGCTCAAACCTTTACTTCCTGCTTTTGCTTTCCCTGCAACCTACTTTAATTGATACATTGAGAAGTTAGTTGCAATGCTGGCTTAATTGGATATCTAGATGTTCTTTAGTGTATTTAATTATGTCTATACTTGGGTTCTCTGAAAATTAGTAAGTTTTAATGGTATACTTATAATCAAGTTATCAAGGTTAATCAACTTTTGTTTCTTCATATTAAAAACATGTTAGCTATGATGTTTAATGTGCAACTATATCATTGGAGTACTAGATTGTTCTCAATTATAATTATAACTAGCAAAGGAATGTGTTTTTGCTTGAACACAAAGCTGGTGTTAAATTGAACACTAAATTGATTTGATAGTTTTTATGGGTTTTATGCAAGTGTTATAGCTTCCTGATTCCCTATGGGAAGCTTGTTATGGTTTGGACTTGGTGACCTAGCTTTTACTGGTAGTCAGTTTATTCCCAGTTACAAGTTGAGATTTCCGGGGAGTGTAGCTGATTCTATCTTCAGTGAGCTAGATCATAGGTAAACTATTTCTGTCTTGTTAAGAAGAAATGTTTAGAAATTTGATGTGATATGCACATTAAGGTATGTTTCTTTCATTTTACATGTTCCTGTTTTTTTTTTTTTTTTAATACTGAATAAACTAGGAGGCCGTCTAATTAGTTCTGTGAATATGGTCAGCTTGTAAAATCTCTTGAAACAATAAATGGGTTTAAATACAATTTTCATCTGAATAGTTTACGTCAATTAGGGATTAAAAAAACCAAAGTTTTAAACTATAGGGACCAAAACTATAACCGAGGTTAAACTATAGGGACAACAAATGTATTTATCCCGAGCTGACTTGACTATAATAGCAAGGTGTTTGTAATTCCACATGTCTCTGTCTCTTATATTTTTCTCATCATTTGCAGTCAAGGATGTTTTAAAATGCAAAGTTTTGTGCTTAATATCTATGGGCTGCATGGCTTATTAAATAGCTTAGCAATAAGGTTTTTTGACTGATTAGAGAGCCATATATATCATCTGGAATACTTTGATTATTTAATAATGGATTTTTAGGGGCAACTATTTTTTTCTCCAAATTGTGATTCTATAACAATTGAGGGCGAGCCATGACGCAACGGTAAATTACTCCCAATATCCCTACTATGTGGGAGTCATGTTCGTTTAGTTGTCTTTAAGCGACCAGTGTAGGGATTTCTTTACTATCCGATATAAAAAAAAATGTTGGAGTTGGAGGTGAAGCGTTCAACAAGCACTATTCAAATGTGAATTGTATCTTTTGTTTCCTCTTGGTATATATAATCTTCTGATGACAGTATTTGCTTTACGTGATTTTTAGGCACATGAACTGTGTCTTTAAGGAATGATAATTGTTTAGTTTACCATGTAAATTATGACCCTCTTATCACTACCAAATCCTACAAATTAAGAGTCTCCATCCCAAGACTGCTTTTATATCTTCTATGCTTTTCCTTTTGTAATTGTCTAAAACTTGTACTAAGATACCATACAGTTTTTATGCTTTTGTTCTCAATGATGTTACCTTTCTTGCTGGTTAAGAATTCCAATCCGTACCAGCTGCCTCTCAATACTTTCTATAATTACGTGTTCAATACGGTAACTGATGCATAAGTAATTCTGCACTCCAACCGCAGTTCACAGACTTGCTAGATCAGCAGTGGTCATGGCTGGAACATCCTCCAACATCCCAACTGAGATCAGAAGTGATGAAGGGATTGTTTCAACTGAAGCTTCTTTAGCTTCAGCAGCTAGTTCTCCTGTTACTTCTGCTGCTATCTCTGCAATACAATCACCAACTTCAGCCTCAGTTGCAGGGAAATGCCATATCAGTCATTCGGCTCAAACCAAGAGAAAGTTATTCATGTATGCTGAACCAGACATAGAAGATTATGGCAATTTGCTGAGTACTGGGAAGAAATCAAGAGCAGATGACACATTACTGCACACGTTTAGGAACAGGAGGGGTTTATCAGTCACTGATGTTACCCATACAGAATGGTGTGATATGAAAATGGAGTTTTCTCTTTACTTCAATGAATCCAAGAACAGTGAAAGTAAGCCCCGTGAGAACCAAAAGCAAATTGATTTGGATCCTTTTTATGAAAGAGGAAGGAGGGGCAACGAAGCTATCAAAGCCGGTGTGGATCGACATGTTCAACTTCGACAAGAGGTTCTATCACCAGTGAAAGTGAAGGTAAAGTCACTTGAAGATGATATGGCAGTGAAGCTTGTTAATTTCATAAATGGCGTGAATCAATTGCTCAGTGAAGAATTAACACGTGAGCTTCCAATAGTGAGCTTTGCTTTTGCACAAGGCATATGGATGGTGGGGAAGATCGATGAGGTTCGAATGCCTAAGGAAGAAAGTGGTCATAAACCTATACTGGTTGAAACAAAGACTCGTTTCCACGATACAGTTCCTTCTGAACCTCAGAAAAGAAATGGAAGGATTCAGTTAATGTGTTACAAGTACTTGTGGGACAATTTAGTTGCTCATGCTAATCATGATTTCCCATCCAAACAGTTATTTGATTATTTTGAGTTAAATCCTCAACATGCTCTAAGTGAGGATCTACGAGCTGTATGTGCTGACTTTGAAATCTCGGCACTGACCCTTGAGGATGTGGTGATGTGTTACCAAAATACATGTAAGAAGCTGTCACCTGCCCATGATCAGCTTGTTTTGAAATATGAATCTCAGAAGGATCGGTCAGTGCTGGATGAAGAAAAAGTTAAATATAATGAAGGCTGGATAAAAAGTCAAATCCAGAATTGTCTCGAGTTTTGGCTTGGACAGCGAGAAGCCAGTTATGTTGCTGAGGAAGAGCAATGGAAATGTGGGTTCTGCAATTTTCGTTCTGAGTGTCCTGCATACACTGATACTGAGAGTGAGAGCGGAGAATACTTTTCATTCGATTCCTCGAGTGAGTAGAAAGAAATGTATGTGGTGCTTTGTCAAAAGCAACAAGTCTAAAGCAGACTAGACGTGCCTCGGACAAGTATCGTACAATATAATATAATTTAGAGAATAGATAGTAATGCAAAGTTTAATGCTATAATTTTATGATATCTACCATCAATCAAAATTCTGTACTAATATTCTATATATCTTTTCCAATTTAATTTAAATTTAACTCATGGCTTTTGCATTTATTATATGGAAATTTAAAAGTTAAATAAATTTGTTGTTTGGAGTTATTTTGATTTGTGAATTCTAATTCATCACTTAATAAAGGGTAATCACTTGTGAAGAATATTTTTTTCTTATTATAATTTTTATACAAGGACTTGCAAAAAATAATCTGACTATAATGATGATAGTAGTAATTATGCGGAGCAATCTCATTAAAATTTATATAGCATAAATTTGAATTGTAGCGATAATTGAAGGTTATACGAGGATTTAAATTCGATCTTATTGTTGTTTTAATCTTTCTTATACTAAAACAAAAATTATAATTGAATTGAAATTAGACTAATAAAATATTATTTATTTCAAGTTTTGGTAGCGTTACATTTTAAAGAATTGGGTTAAAAGAAATAATGTATTTGGAAATGATATGTTCAATGTTCAGAGGAGTTTTTTGTTAATTTGGATAACAAGACAATATCTTTTGAAGTGTAAACAGATATACTAAAATGTGGCTATTGTATGAGTTTTTTATTTTTAAAAAAATTGAAAAAGCTAGGAGGCTCTCAAGATTCATTGCTGTGAAGATAATTAAGGACGGCCTACAAATCCCTTGATTCATGAAGTTGAATGAATAAGTTAATTGAGTTTGAATCCAGCAAGGTGTTTGAAATATTTTTCTTTTTATTTTTACTGTAAGGATGGTTTAATGTGGAACACTGTTTGTGCTTTTTATTTGTGTGGTACATGAGTTAGATAGCTTAGCAATGAGGATTTTCGACCAATATTGCATAGCCATACACTCTCTACCGTTGGTTTTTATGGCAATTCCTTTTTCCTACTAGTGACTCAGTAGCAACTAGTGCAGGGTTCTTTATTTATTTCAAGTTGTGTTAACACTATTTGCTTTACTTTATGATAGTTTTGGACATTAGAACCGTGTCCATCGACTCAAGAGAAGGTTGTGCATGACAATGACATAGATATAGAGAGGACTATGGCAATTTCTGAGGAGGAAGAAGAAGCCAAGAGAAGATAACAGCACACTTGGAGCAAGAGAGGCTTGTTTGTCAAGACTGAATAGTGTGAAAGGCAAATGGAGCTTTCTCTTTTCTCTCAAGAATTCTATGTCTCATAAATGGAAAAAGTGTCTACAATGGAAGGTTTTAGGAATTTATAGAAGTAGGTAGCTTAGGGAGTAAGCTAACCTTAACCATGGTTCAAGAGAACCATGGTTTGGTTGCCTTGACCGACCTCCCTAGTTAGGATGGCTTGTGG